TTTATATTGATCACTTTGGCAATTTCTCTTCACTCGTTCCATTGGGGTTTTCATCCGCCGAATGGTAATTCATCAATGCAAGCAGGGCATTAAACTCATTTACAATCCTTCATTACCGGACATGCAGGCAGACAGGCAGGGAGGCATCGTTTTAATGACCCATTTCGCTTTGCTCGCCATTAGAAAGGCAGCCGCAAGGCGGCGGCTGACCCCCAGCACTTCCACATCCCAATCCTAGTGTCCATGGCCAATGCCACAGCATCTGCATCTCCATCTGCATCTGGGCCGGCAACATCATCAGCAATATCCTAGGCCGAAAAATCAACAGACAACCAATCCACAGGCTATGGGGAAAATGTCTCTACACTCTTAGAAATGTGATCGAAATTTGCGTGAAAGTGATATAAATATTCTTGAGAAATTAAATTAATAATAAAGTGGCACTGAAACGGGATGATTTAATAACTAAGGATTTTAAGAAGAATATAATTATACGGGAGGTTTTTGATATATGTTTATAAAACCATTATGTATCCTTCTATGCTAATCCTATCACTATTAAGATTTCTATTACGTGAAGTACGAATTTGTAGGCACTTCCTTCCCTTCTTGATTTAATGTAGTTTCGCCCATCAAAGGATCTGTAAAAAGTTCCCTTTATGTATCCTTTTTGGAAACACCTTTCTATCCCAGTGTAACACCATACAATTCGATTGGCCATAAGAGCAAACAAAGCCAGTGAAAGCCAAACAAGTGGCCAGACTTTGCCCATTTCACACAGATGTTTAACAAGCCAGCCCGGGTCATAAATCATCCCAAATGGCTAGGATATATACTCCAACGGGTATATCCATCTACCATTTGGTTAGCATATGACCGCGGTCGAGATCCTCGCGGGTGAAAACCCGCTGACATTGACAGTTTCTAATATGAAAATTGGCCAAAAGATTTATGCACACGCTGTTGACTTCCATTTTAATTTAAAACTAATCAATAAACTGGCACAGCATAGCCAGAGCAGCGCCAAAGTGTTCAACAAATTGCCAAATGATGTTGCAAAGTGCAATGTCACAGTAATTTACGTGCCACTTCAATGGCAGCCAAAACTACAGCTGATGAGAATTTATGCTAAGGGTTAAATGTCAGTCTCGTCAATATATGTATATACATGTATATGCATAGTGGGTGGTTTTGCTAGTTAAAGTTATTAAAAATATGTATTTAAATATTTTTACCATGAGATCATAGGTTTTATGAACAAGAATAGCAAACTCTGAAGCGATATAGATACCAAATTCTTACAAATTTGTAAGAAAATGAAGCTATATAAGTCTGGGGAAGTATTACTTATTGGTTATCTTGAATTTCTATATTATTTTATATATATAGTTCTATATATTTGATTAATATTTCCCTGGAAATCCTTGTAGATTGAAAGTTTTCTTCAACATGCTACTTTATTTCAGTTTAAAAGAGTTGTATTTTCACTTTGTATAATTTTATGAAAATTTATATTCAAAACTTATTTAAAAAACTTGAAATAAAACATATATCCAAATGGATTCATCCCATTGTGCTGCGATTTGGCAGCCAAGCTGTTACCTATGTATGTATGTGCGGAAAAGTGAAAAGTCATGAATCATATACATCATGATCACACCAAAGCGAACCACACCACACGACCATGGCAAGCTAGGATGGATGATGATGATGATGATGATGAAGCTTCAGAGGCACAGCAGCAGCAGCACCGGCATCGGATATGCGAGTGGATGGGCCATAAAGTTACATGGCTTATCGCTGGAAAACTTTTAAAAAACACTTGAGATTGCGCCGAGAACGAGCGCGGTGGCCAAAGCAAAGCGAAGAGCGCTTGGAACAGGTATATATGTAGCTTTTCCAGAGAAGAGCCTAAGTACACACATACACACTCCCAACACCGGCAAGAGAAAGATCCATGGAGGAGGATTGACTCAGGAGGATGGAGCTGAAGTTGTTGGTGGCTTGTATCTACAAATAGACGCGCAACTGACGGCCGCAAGACAAAGTCAAACAAAAGACCCAAACGGTAGTTGCCATGAATGGACAACAGACTCCAAACCGGCTAGAGGCTACAGTAGATCTACCATTATTCGAAAATATATGATTTTGAGTTACAAAAGGGATGCACAAAGAACCCCTTTGAATAGAGAACAGGTGAACTGCAAACTGTGAACTAGAAGATACATCTCTAGAGAGCTGTGCCTTGCCTTCAAAAGTATATAATATATGGAATATACAAAATATTTATATTATATATTGATTTCTGTTCTATTAAATCTATCAAAAGTCCCCGTTGAAGATGTTCAACTGTATCTGTATCTGACGAATACGGTACGCAGACTCCAATGCAGAAACTTTGACTGGAACGCAGTTGCAATTGCAACTTTGTTGCCCGCAGGCGCAGCATGGGCTCGGACTCGGACTTGGACTCGAGACTCCTCGAATGGCCAACTATTTATTGGATAGGATCCCGGGACTCCGACCCAGTCTCAGATTCAGATACGAAGACCCATAAAATTCCCGCGCACGCACAGACAAATGTGAATGTGAATGCATTTTGTGTGTTCGATAATCACAAGTCGGCGATTCCCACAATCGAGGCTGCACTTGAATTTGAATTTGCAATTGCTCTCTCAATATTTATGAGTTGAACTCTGTAGTTAGTTTTGTGAGTCTTGCCGATAATGAAAGTGCTGCCATTGAAAGGAAAGATGGCTAAAGGTCAGGACATTTACATGTCGGCTGATAGGAATAGGGAAAGATATTAGGGAGGTAAGAGGGGAGAATATAGAGGTTAATGTAATTGCTTCTTGTAAAAATACCAAAAAAATTGGAAAAGAATCTTAGAAATTCTTTAGAATTCTATACCAGAAGATTATCCTTCCCTTTCGTTTCGGTATTTATTTTATTTTATATTAATAAACGATATTGATAAGCTATCATAAGTAGTGACCTCACCAATCTCTGTCCCAATTTGTGCGTAAAAATCAGTTAACTCATTATATCAATTTATTTATATTTTTAATCTTATCTAGTAAATTATTTATGTACTTCTAATCGGTTAGATGCTTGCAATTAAATGTCACTAGCCTAGATTTTCCTGAGGAAAACTTGAACCAGATGTCCCAACTTTTGGTTCTACATCTGTATATGTTTTTCCCTCCACCCTCACCCCCCTTATCGGTGCCCATTAATCAAGATTGTGTCAAAGGTATTAGCTCATTTGGGAGCTCAGTGTCTATGGGGATTGGATCCGATCGAACTCAACATTCGAATGTTTCGGGCGATTACAAACTATTATTGTTGTCAACTGCTATTGGTAACATTTTATTACGTGAGCCTCGGGTGGTTTTCCTTTTTTTGTTTTCCCTGGTAATGAGTAGATTGATTCTAATTGAAAAATACCGGACAGGGGCTCTTGCTTATCAAAGATGTTGGTGGATTGAGCAATTGCATTGTGATTGCTAATGGACTGGAAAGCTACCACAATTGGTAATGATGTTGAGGCAGCTCTGGACATGGCAGAAATATTTTCGAGTACCTAAAGATCAGAGTAAATTATAATATGATTAAAAAATTCTATAAAATATTTCATATATCAAAATACATGTTTCAAAACTAGCTTAAATATAATATAAACTGCATTTGACTGCAGTTTTCTTTGGTTCCACATATAACCATAAATCTTTGAATGACTCAATTGTTAAACTAATTTCCACAAATCTGGAAAACCACTTTAAGGAACAATATCCTGACACATTCACGGCGTGAACGCCTCTTGAAAAGTGCCTGGCTTATCGGGACGATAACCCCTAAGAGTGCCCCGAGTATCTGGCGGGTTAATGAGGCACCTCAGAGGCACGTACGCTTGCGTCATCGGGTAGCTGAAAAGAAGATACCATGTTGTAGCCACCGGACCCTTACCCACTCTTTTATGTTTGCTATTTCCACTGACACCGTGATAAGGCAACAGTTCCTGTAGTCAGCACCTCAATCAGTCAAAAACCGAAGAAGAATAAATACAAAATCAACAAGTGAGGGTGCTGTGAGAGGTCGTTACGAATGGGAGGTACCTGGTATTCGGTATTCTTAAATAATAGGTTTACTGATAACCATTGACTGTACCTTAACTAAGTCATATTTTTTATTTTCCGCCATATTCATTTTAATTTTAATTTTCAATAATCTTTTGAATTTAAAATATCTTCAAGTGGTGCTTAAAAGTATGCTACAAAATGTCAACCTCCAAAAGAAGCAAAATTGCATTAATTTAAAATCCCAAAATCATTTTATCATAATTTTTGATGCATTTTTGTAAGTTTAACCATTAGCCATACTTTTAAATACATTTTTTTAAGCTTTCCCCTCCCTATATACCCTATATAATATAAATCCCAGCATACCCCTCTAGTCTTACAAGTACCACGTACCAAAAGACAAATATGAATACAACGACAACGAAGCGTGAATGAATTCCTCAGCGCAAATTGAAAAAAAAGAGTGATAGTGATAGTGGAACTGATAAGCGGCAGAGCGCCGTGCTGAGATCGCATATCAGAGAGTGGTAGTCAGATCCACAGAGCTGAGCGAGCTAGAGAACGGCATTAAAAACCGGTTTGTGTGCGCTCGCTCACAGCTTGCTTAGAGTGGTGCACTATGGGCATGTTGTAGTAATATAATCATAAATTCAATTGAATTTAGATGGCATTTTTTAAATACCAAGAGAAATATATTAAAAATAATACCCAAAACAAGATAAACATAACATAATCATATAAAATAAATCTAAGGAACAATAAAGTTGAAATAAAAATATCAAAAATGGTATTCTATATATTGCATAGTAATTCCAATAACAAACATTCTTTGCCCACTGTGCCCGGGAGACCCAGAGCGCGACTCTTCAGCTCACCGACACTTGTCTGGCTTTCAGAGCTCTCTCAGTTTCGAAACACACTTCAAAGCTCGCGCAAGCGTAGCGCACGCTAAATCGTACAAGTTGCATCGCTTGGTGAAAAAGGCATAGCGAGTCGCGATCACACGGCCGGCATTTTCCTTCTTATACGCCACTTTGGATACGGTTTCGATTTGCAAAAGAAAATGTACGAAAATTGCTAAATTCTAAAGGGAAAAAAGTTCCCATGTGCTGTGACGTATACGTAATGTGACCACATTGCGACTTAAAGTAAAATAGTTGAAGAACTATGCACGTGCTTGTGTGTGTGTCAGTGTCTGGGAACTTTTGTTTCGTCTTCGAAAAAGTGCAATATTCTAACTGTTTACATGGCGAAATTCGAAGAGCTTTAATTGAGTCACCTGCTAAAGACGAAAATAGATTAGATCGCTATCTCTGTCCACCTCAAGTGAAGAATTCCAGAGCAGTTTATGAATCGAATTTCGCTTGAATATAAAATTTGTCAAATTTTTTAGCCAGTGATTAAATGCTTGCTTAAATTTCTAGTTCATAATTTAACCAATTCAACCTGGTTTAAATACGTTTTCTTTGCACACTTAATCGCAAGACGAAACAAAAAACAAAAGACAAGACAAAAGAATGTTTGGCCAAATGTATTCACATTTTCTTGTGATACAAAAGAAAGCCATTAACACTGTGCTAGCAATGTGTGAAAAATTTAAATGATAAATTTAAATTAAAGTGCTGTTCTCTCTTCTTCTGTAAAGCTCCAAAAGCCGGCTCTGTAGATGTATTTCGAAAACGAATTTAACGAAAAAAGCAAGGAAAAAATGCCAGAAAAAATGCCCGAAAAAGTACGTGTTGCAAAAAGTGTAAAATAAAGGGAGGGCAGAGAACGAACGAAGCGCAGGAGGAGGAGAAGGAGGAGGAGGAGGAGCAACAGCAGCGACTTGAAAGGATTCGCAGCTGGAACTGCATCCATCCAGATACGTATCCCAGATTCACATACACATATATACATATATGAGGCAGCCAGCGGACCACAAAAGATACATGCCATGTTCCCACTAAGCAACCGCTCTTCGAGTGGCAACCGCACCAACAATAACAACAATCTGTGTAGCAACCAGACCACGAGCTTTATAATCGGAGCTACCAGCAACATTAACCACAACAACAATAAGAACAGCAACAACAACCAGATCGGAGGCACCACCAACACTGGCAAGGATAAAGGAAATTTTGAAAATAATTGGAGCTGCAATAAAACAACCGGTCGTCGATCTGGCAGCGGTAATAGCTGCAGTTTTTTAGGTAAATATCAAGTAGAGTTATATGAAGTGCCGTTAGTTGTGGGTTTATTAATATTGGTTATGGTGCAAGTTTATAAGTATACTCTTTTTATTTGGGTTGTAAAGGATAATCTTTTAAAATATTATAAGTATTTTAGAACTGTATTACAAAAAACATATATTTTAATTCATTAGTGATTAAAATTTCTATATAATTGTTGTGTCATTTATTTCAGTTCTTTATCTCTGATCAATTTAAAGCATTAACTTCTGTGTTTCTTTAATTAAACTGATTACTTTTGGTCATAATTTCACCCAAGGGAATCGTCCATTAGTGGGGGCCCTGCCCATTGCACTGAAAGTTGTATAATTCCATTTCGGCGGCTGCTTTGATCACCTGAGTTTTATCTTATGACCATCTCATCTTCTTCTTTCTCTCTCATTGGAATGACTGCAATTTCACAAATCGCATTTACCTTTTTTTTCGGTTCGTTTTAATGTCGCCAAGAGTTCCCTTTTTTAGCCGGAAATTTACAATGCAAATTGCATTAATTGCAATTTTCTGTCCAAATTGAGTTTGCCATGGCTGCAGCATTGTTGCTGTTTGTATTTACATTAAAATGCAAATACTTTGCACTAATTTACATGTCGCGCCGACGATTGCAGTGGAAAACTGCACCCACCCACCCCGATTGTTCCCGGTCTCTTTTCCGAAGACCATAAAACCGCCTGAAGAGACAATGGAAGTCTTTTGTGATGAGCATGGGAGTGTGGCTGTGTGTGTGTGTGTTTGTGGAAGTATTAGTGTGATTTGTGGGGGAATTGCAGAGAGTGTATGTAATTGTAAGTGTGAGCTTGAAACCATGTGAAATGCCATCAAAATTCCAGAATCTCTCATGGGCTGTTGCCTTCCTTTGTCTTGCAGGGTATTTCTTGGGTATATAAAATATTTATGATAAACATTTATTAAAATATTACATTGTTTTTAAATAAAATACTTTGCTAAATATTTTAGTTAACTTCTAAAATTGTTGGAATTTTCAGCAAAAAAGGAGAAGGGTCAGCAGAAACATTTCAATATTTATATTAACTTTTTAGAACTTTCTTTCAAAAGGGTATCAAGGGTTCATAACTCCCGCATCTACCATACTTGCCTATTGGTTCTCCTTCTTTCAGTTGCGCTTGCGCAATCTCCAAAAGCTTCTTCTCTACATTTCTGCGCTCTTTTCATTGCGCATTCGCAAAAAAAGAAGTGGAAAAGAGGAGCATGGGGCTGTCGGCACATGCGCTTTGTTTGTCTGTCTGCCAATACACTAAAAAAACGAAACCCAACAAAATTAATTACATGTTAAAGAAGATTAATAATCAATTATTTTGAAATATATTTTTGCCCTTTTAAATATGATTTTTCTTATTAATTAATTATTATTTAGTATTATATATGTTTTATATTCGCATTTATTATTTGTAGTGCATTTAATGCTATTGTATGTATGACGGTGTATGCCCAAGAATTCCCAGAAATATTTCACTTCGAAATTTGTTAACAAGCAGACAACAGAAGCAACTCGAATACACAGGGAAGGAACATTGTATTTTGGTTTTTTGTTTGTTGTTTGCAGCTTGGCCTGGGCCATGAAGTGTATCAAGTGTTTGCCGAGTTTTAGCTTCTTTTCTCTGATTCCCCCTTTTGTCTACAGGGCTTGGGACTTCAAGTTGAAGGTTAAAGTTGAGCCAGGCCGAGCTGAAGCCTTCTCGTTTTTGGATTAGAAAGAGTTTTGTTGTTTGTTCGAGTGGATTTCTTAGAGTTTTACCGGTCCAGGACCTTTGTTTTGAGAACCAGAAATTCAAAGGCTTGAAGTATTCTTCAAGCTGACAGACTTTTGGCAGGTTTTTCAAGGATTTTAAGAGAGGGGCAAAAGAATGCGAAAGGTAGTTGTGACTCAGCTTGAGTGTTGTTAGAGAAGGGAATTTAGGATAAAGTATTGAAAATATAGTACAGACTTTATAGATCTTTTATACATAAAATCCTGCATTTAATGTTTAAAAGATTCAATTTGAAGCTTACCTCTTGCAATATTTCTTAAAGTGCCATATCAGTTAAAGTCTTAAATTTTATAATCCCAGCTTTGCACACTTTATAGCCTCTGAATTGATTTATTAAAACCACTAGAACCAGTTCATTGATGCACATGGTCCACTCTCTTCATATACAGAGTATCGTTAACCAATAATTCAAATGATCTGGAAACCAGCCTTCAAAACTAAGCCGCCAACATGGAATCCGATGCCAAGTCGAATCTCGACGCGTGTTGGGCAGCAGACTTCACAAATCGCTTTCAATTCCAGCTAAAATTCAAATGCGTTTTCCACTTGCACTGACTTGGCGGATGGTTTTTAATTGCAAATTGCAAAACTGACCAATCATAAAGAGTCTAATTAAGGCGATGTCTGCTCTGTCGAACAAATATCTTGCATATTTTTAGATCCACCAGCTGCGCATTCGCATTCGCAGACGGTCAGTATTCAATGTCATACACTGAGAGATTTGGCTTTACTCTAAAATGGGGTTAGTTAGTTCCGCATTTCACTTGGGGTAGAGAATCATAGAGATAGGATGTTCAAAAGATGTATTTATTTAGCTTTATTTTTTACCCTTGCAGGGTATTATAATTTTGGTCAGAAGCTTGTAATAATGTGAAGGAGTCATTTCCGACCCCATAATTCATATATATTCTTGATCAGAATCAACAGCCAAATCGATCTAGCTATGTCTGGCCATAACATAAATTTTTTATAATTTTTCAAAATTTCTAAAAATTATAAAGCGTTACATCGTTAAAATTTTTAAAAATTGGCAAAATTTTAAATTTTAAATTAAGTATACAGATTTATTAACCTAATAAAAACTATCACAAAACAGATTTCCGAATTGAAATTAATGCATTTTTGGCTAAGTTATGATATTTTGAATATTTAATTTTACCCAAAAATTGTCATAAAAAAAATAACGATTCATTAAATGCAAAAATGTTAAGCATAGTTGTGATCAATTTCAAAAACGATCTTATAATTCAAACCAATATTAATAATAACAACATTATAACATTGTTGTTATAATAATAGCATCAGTAAAAGTGCTTAAAAGATGTGCAATTTTTTTCTGATTTTATAAAATATGAAAACTGTATTTTAAAATGTATCAGAAAAGCCAGAAAGCATTCCTGCGACACGTATAAATATTTTTAAAAAACAAATTGAAATCTATAGTAAGGACTATCTATTTTTCCCTGTGCAATACTGTACCAAATTAGAAAGGGAGATCTGTGCGAGGATGATGAAGAACTGTGAGCTGTGAGTGGCAATGAGTTAATTTGCTGCCAAAACACACCCTCGGGCCTCATTAGCCTGCACTCTGAGTGAGATTTATAGACGAGCTGGATGCTGGATGCTGCTGCTGGCTGCTGATGCTGTTGCTGTTGCTGTTGCTGATGCTGGCTGCCGGCAAATTAGTTGGAAATGCAAAAAACCCTGGGGTCAAACAGACAGGGGCGGAGGTTGGCAGACTCTCTCAGCGGGTTGCCTGGCTAAATGAGTGCTTAAAGTGTCGGCTAAGCTTGCCAAGATTGCAACTGGGCAACATGTTAACTTGGTCATATAGCAGCAGGGCCGTTGAGCATAAAAAATGAGCAGTAGTCAAGCTAAAAAAAAAATGGCAAACTTGGCTCAACTATAGGTCTCTTTACAAACCCATAAACTTGTCTGTTAAAGAGTTTTAGGTTTAGGAGTTTAAACCTATTGAACTCATCAATATTTCAGTGTTTTCTCTCTCCTTATTTATAGTTTTAAATATTCTTACTCACTGATTAGGGTTCAAAGTGTTAGGTCTTCTTCTTTCTTGACTAATTTTAATACTTTATGAGACTGAGAAAACTTATATTACTCAGCAGCTGGCTTGCTACACCCTAAACAACATAAACTTGTCCACAGCTTGAGGGGAAAATATGACTTTCCATTTGTTTTTGCATTTGCTGTGACATTTTGAGTTATTTGACACTTTGCAGGCGCGTATCATCTTTCCCCTTTCCTTTCGCCTGCCTGGTCTTTCTTCTTGCCAGTTTATTAACTCATTATTTTGAAATCAACTTGGCCTGGCGGGCGAAAACGTGTTGCAGAAGTTTCTGCCTGACAAGTTGACTAAACAACAGCAGCAACAGCAGCAACAACAGTTGCCAGTGCAACTTGCGCAACTTTTCTTCTTCGCAGTCAAGTTGATTAAGTACTCCGACACTCTTTTCTCCCATTAACGAACGAATATTATTCATTAACATTTCATATGTAATTGGGACAACAAGAAGGAGCTTGCTCCGGGCGGCTTTTAATTGAAGTAATCAATAATTGCGGCATATCTTTCATTTGCATCGGGTCTTTTTTCTTTCCGTTTTATTCCCAGGGAATTGTGAATTTTATTTTTAACCGCGCACAATTTGCACCAATATTAGCAACTTTATAAAATATTCAGAGTCTTGGGCATAAAGTTTCGCATAAAAAACTCACAAACAAAACAAATTTTGAATGCGCCGTTTATGCGGATCTAAGGTTAAGCCTCTGAAACTTTTTTATCTTAAATGCCGAAAAGGTATTCACAATAAAGCATAAAACCAATTAATTATTTGCACATTTGATTGTGTTTTTTTTATTGTGCTTTTTCTCTATTTTGTTGATTGCAAAATTCAAGTAAAAACAACATCGAGGAGCTACTGCCACCACTGCGTAACACTTTGTTGTAGTAAGAAAAGATAAAAAAAACTACACCCAAACAACTATTCATATCTCAGCTGTACCGGTTACAGGTAATAATAGTTAACAAGTACAAGAGTTCAGAAATAAATATATTTCAAATTAAGTAAGGAAGGGTTAATAAGGAAGATTTAATAAAAGTTTCTGTGAGCTTTAGGTACTTTTTACTCATGGTTTATATGCCTTTGCAGGGTATTTAAATTTCAGTCAAAAGCTTGTAAT